AGGAAAGCATAAATGTGAAAAGGGTTTTAAAATATATGTATGTATGTATGTCTATGTAGGTAGGTGGGTGGGTAAATAGATAGATAGGTAGATAGAAAGAAAGATAGGTAGATAGAAAGGTAGATAGGTAGATAGATAGGTAGGTAGAAAGATAGGTAGATAGATCGAAATATAGATAGATAGATAGATAGATAGATAGATAGATAGATAGATAGATAGATAGATAGATAGAAAGAAAGAAAAATAGATAGATAGATAGATAGATAGATAGATAGATAGAGAGACAAGTAGATAGATGGAGATAGGTAGATAGGTAGGTAGAAAGAAAGATAGGTAGATTGAAAGATAGGTAGATAGATAGATAGAAAGAAAGAAAGAAAGAAAGAAAGAAAGAAAGAAAGAAAGAAAGAAAGAAAGAAAGAAAGAAAGACAAGTAGATAGATGGAGATAGGTAGATAGGTAGGTAGATAGAAAGATAGGTAGATAGATAGGTAGATACAAAGAATAGAATAGAATAGAATAGAATAGAATAGAACAGAATAGTATAAGTGGATGTTTTATAATTCACACAACAAAAAGTGCAAAACCAGCGCATAGCAATATATGCTCTCCCCATTCTTAATGTTCTTTATGTTTTATACTGTACATAAATTACATCCACGTTACTGTAAATAGATGCTTTGCTATCTCCTAGCGTGGTACATAGAGCAAGCATCCTCGAAGACCGGCCCATCGCTGAATTTTAAAAATTAGTGATTCTTTTCGCCCTCATTGGAAATTGAAAAGAACTAGCATGAAAAAAATGGATTAGGGAAGGACTAGAACTCACAGTCCCCTCGTGTTTGACCCAAAGTCACCCAATCGGCTTTTGTGCTGAAATTAGAACTCACAGCCTCCAGGTGACTGGCCCCATATCATCCAGCTGGCTTTCATGGCTAAGGTGGGACTTGAACTCAAAGTTTCTGCTTTCTAACCCAGTGCCCTAACCACTAGACCAAACTGGCTCCCTAACTTTTTCTTACTAACTTCCCATGATACAAAAGACCTCTTTTAAAAAATATTTGAAGCTCAGGAGTTTTTTAAATACCGAACCGAATTCACAGTTCTTGCACCCCATTTTTACCCAGAAATTTGAAACGTGTGTGTATATCCCTTCTTACTTAAAAAAAAACCAAAAAACCCAATGTGCTCTCCATGATGTTCTGCTCCAATAACTGTAAATGTTGCTCTTTTTTTTTTTTAAAGAAAAGGCAAAGATTTTTAACCGAGACACCTTATTACAATCCTTCGGACCACTTCTGTACAGCAGTGGAGCTCAGCTGGTTTGGACCAGTTTGGCTGAATCGGATGTTAAATTTGCATCTGGTTCGCTGAACTGGAAGTTGAATCGACCGTCTGGTCCCCCCCCCCCCCCCCCCCCCCTGAATCTCCATGCAGCCCATTTTGGATGCAGGTAAGTGCAGGGTCCATGCAGAGACTCTGGGAGGGCGAAAAACAGGCCTCCCGGAAGTCCAGGAACGGGTCTTTTCCTGGTTTCCGGAGCCCGGGGAGACCTCTTTCACCCTCCCAGAGGCCCGAGGGAAGACTCCAGACTCTGGGGAAGGCCAAAAATGGCCCTTCCAGAAGTTCCGGTAGGCCACACCCACCACGTCCACGTCCACCCAGCAACTGGGCAAGGAACCGGTTGTTGGGATTTTGGAATTGTTAGGAATATAAGTCACCTAACAGCTATTTGGGTTGGAAATATATAAGCCAGGATAGACATTTTAATACTGTCTCTTTAAGAGAATCCTAAAAGTATAATTGGGTGTGGTTTCTCAAACGGCCATAAGATGGAGCCAGAAACCTGGGTTGTTTTAGTCTTAGTCTCAGAAGAGAGTGTGAGTGTATCTCTGTTTCTTTCTGTTGGAGAGTACTGCCGTTCTTCCTAAATTGACTGATATTCTTGGATTTGATGTAAGTCTGATACTGAACTATTTTTGACACTGGACTTTGTTATTGGATTATCCCTGGATGAAAACTGACTGATCTTACCTGTGAATGACTTAGGACTGTGTTTGAACTTTGCTTAAAACCTTTATTGGAAGTAAAAACCAACATTTACTGTAGAGTGTATCTATGTGCTGTGTGTGTATTATTCAAACACTTCTCTCAAATACATCTCCCTGTATGCGTTCATTCTCCTAATGAGGAATTACCTCAACAGGAATCCCACCCCTGCTTCTGTAGCCCACGTACCTGATGGCTTTGGAGGCGTTGATGATCTCTTTGATCCTGGGCACCCCTAAGGTGATGTTCATGGAGGCCACACCAGCAAAATGGAAAGTCTTGAGGGTCATCTGCGTGCCGGGCTCCCCGATGCTTTGTGCACAGAGCGCTCCCACTGCAGAGCCTGGCTCCATCTGTGCCCTAAGAGACCGGATTCAAAGAGACATGGATTTTCGTTCATTCCATAGCTACCCATTCCCTTGATGCTTTGTGGCCGCGTTGAAAATACCGATCAACTCAAGGGGGGAAGGGGGGGAACAGGGTCATAGGTGAACAGTAAATTATGTAGAGCAGAGCTGACTGCACTTGGGAAAAGGGCTGGCATGTTGCTCCTAATAAATAATTGGATTTCTTTTGAAACTTGGCTCGAGGCTCATGAATTAATTAGGGCATCCGTCGGAACCCTGACAATACCACTTTATAATAGCAATAGCACTTAAGACTTATATACCACTTTACACTGCTTTACAGCCCTCTCTAAGCAGTTTACAGAGTCAGCATATTACCCCCAACAATTTGGGTCCTCATTTTACCCACCTCGGAAGGATGGAAGGCTGAGTCAACCTTGAGCCTGGTGAGATTGGAACTGCCAAATTGTAGGCAGCTGGCTGCAGAAGTAGCTTGCGGTACTGCACTCTAACCACTGTGTCACAGAGGCTCCTCATAATGCCTTAGTAAGGCCACACTTGAAATATTGCATCCAGCTTTGGTCACAACAATGTAAAAAAGGTGTTGAGAGTCTAGAGTAGAAACAGTGCGGAGAAGAGCAACCAAGATGATTGGGGGGCTGGAGGCTAAAACGTATAAAGGATGGTTGCTGGAATTGGATATGTCTACTTTAATGAAATGAAGGACCAGGGAAGACATGAGAGCAGTCTTCCAATATCTCAGGGGCTGCCCCAAAGGAGGAGGAGTCAAGCTATTCTCCAAAGCACCTGAAGGCAGGACAAGAAGCAACGGATGGAAACTAATCAAAGAGAGAAACAACCTAGAACTAAGGAGGAATTTCCTGACAGTCAGAACAATTAGCCAGTGGAACACCTTGCCTCCAGAAGTTGTGAATGCTCCAATACTTTTTAAAGAAGAGATTGTCTGAAACAATCTGAACCATTTGTCTGAAATGGTATAAGATGCAGGGGGTTGGACTAGAAGACCTCCAAGGGTCCTTCCAATTCTGCGATTCTCTTCTGTTCAAACGCAGCCAAGTTCTCGAAAGATCAAGAGTTACGTTCTCCAGATTTAAAATGGATTTACATTAAACCGAGTGACTCCACCATTCAGTCAGAATTGAAGACGCTTCTTGGGTGAGAAGCGAAACCTCTTCAAGGGAAAACAAAGTCCAGTTGCCTTTTGAAAAAAAAGCACCTTTGGGACAAGTAAAATATTTTTAAAAATGACTGAGAATCTCCAAAGTCATTTTTAAAAATATTTTACTTCCTTGTTTAAATAAGTCAACAGCACACACCCTTGTTGATGTGTATAACAAGGAGAAAAAGGCTCAAAGCTTCTATCTACCAAGGAGCCCGGGTCGGGTTTAAGGCAAATTTCTCAAACATATACAATACCCATCACCAAGACAGGCTAACTGGCTATTTATCGATTACTTTTAGCAAAATCAGAGAAGCAACTTAGAACTTGGGAGAAATTTCCTGAGTACAATCAACCAGCGCATCGAAAAGAAAGCCAATCCGTGGACACGAATCTGCTGAATTGCAGCTGGCAATTGTGCAAATCTCCTTCCGCCTAGACTGGCCATAGATACCCACTTCCTGCAACGGTTCCTTGTGTGTTTTGACCTGGAGACCAAAACATGTCAGAAAGATTGCAGGACCAGGGGAGACATCATAGCATCATCCAATATTTGAGGGGCTGCCACAGAGAGGAGGAGGAGGAGGAGGGGGTCAAGCTATTTTCTAAAGCACCTGAAGGCCAGACAAGGCCCAGAAACTGACCAAGGAGAGATTCAACCAAGAGATCTTACCTCATATACTTCTCTCTGCAGATCTCCAGAAACTTTTCCAGCTGGGTTGGAGTGATTCGGTCCAACTGGTATAAAACGTAGGGCTAAAGGGACGAAGACCCAGAATGATTACCAACATATTCAATATGTGTAGTCAATCCTATATTCAATATATTGTCATTACGAGTATATTAACAAGTACGATTGCAAGTCTATTCAATATATTAGTCAGTAGCTCCAAGGGTCACCGAATGTCTTGCACTTCCCCAACTCTTTGAATTCCCTCAAGGTGCTTTGAACAGGGAGCCAACCTATTTTCCAAAACATCTGAAGTCCGGGCAAGAAGTAACAGGTCAAAACTAACCAAAGAGGGAACCAACCTCCTCTAAGGAGAAATTTCCTGACAGCTAGAACAATTAACCGGTGGAAGGGCTTGCATCGAGAAGTGGTGGGTGCTTCATCACTGGAGGTTTTTAAGAAAAGTCTGGACAGCCATTTGCCTGAAATGGTATAGGGCTTGGACTAGACTTCCAATGTCCTTCCAACCATTCTCTATTCTGTAAACATTTATCTCCTTGCTTGGCTTCTACTAATCTTAAATATGATGGTGTCTAACAAGGACTTGGGAAAAACTAACGTTTCCTGCTATGGGAACGAACTACAGTGAATTTTAATCACAGTCTTTCCCACTCCTGGGATTTTATAGCTGAAGAAACAGCTTTAAACATGAAGGCAAGTAGGTTTTGTTGTAAAAGAAGTACAGGCTTTCTCGCCTCTGAAGTTGGATATACTATAGATCCAGACGAGCCTTTCTGAATCCCGATGTGCTGAATAAGGACTATAGCAGGGGTCTTCAAACTTGGCTAGTTTAAGACTTGTGGACTTCAACTCCCAGAATTCCTCCTCCAGTCATGATAGCTCAGGAATTCTGGGAGTTGAAGACCACAAGTCTTAAACTGGCCAAGTTTGAAGATCCTTGGAATAGATAGATATAGATGGATGGATGGATGGATAGATAGATAGATAGATATAGATTAGATAGATAGATAGATAGATAGATAGATAGATAGATAGATAGATAGACAGACAGACAGACAGACAGATAGATAGATAGATAGATAGATAGATAGATAGATAGATAGATGGTAGAGATGGAGATAAAAGATAGATACTGTAGATCAGGGGTCTTCAACCTTGACAGCTTTAAGACTTGTGTACTTCAACTCCCAGAATTCCTCCTCCAGTCATGTTAGCTCAGGAATTCTGGGAGTTGAAGTCCACAAAGTCTTAAACCTGCCAAGTTTGAAGACCCTTGGATTATAGGAATAGACGTTCCACATAGGCAGAGGTCAGAAAATTGGGGAAGTCCGTTCTGAAAATATTCTGACCAAGTTATCTATCTTTATTAGATAGCATTCTGAGTAACGCATCTGCCCAAAGCAGAACTCTGAGGCAGGCAGATTCCTCAAAGAACATGTTTATGGGGTACACCATATCGGCACAGCCAGTGAAAACCAACTCTAAAAGTTCCCATGGTTTTAGCCTAATTAAAAGAGCAAATATTTCCCACCCCAGATGTCACCAGTCGCGTTATTTGGCAGGCTGCTCGGTCACTCCTCTACCTTTTTCAACTGCCACCTGTTGGGATGACCTTGGTTCCTCCCCAAAAAACTTTTTGTTTTGACTGTTAGCCTGTCTATCTACTTTCCACCACCCCGTTTCAGAGTTTGTGGCAACTATGAGGCAGTAAAAGATGGCTTCAGCCAGGTTCGCTTCAGAGTTGATAGTATTGCTATTAACATTACATTTCCCTTAATTTTCAAGACACAATTCCCTATTTTACGGCACTCGCAATTCTTGGAAATAAACGATTCGACCTAATTTTCTTCTGCAAAAAATCACCATTTAGCTTTGACCTTTTAGGAAAGTGTTTAGGAATGGCCTCTGGAAAATATCTGAATTGTTATACATGCACCAGAAGTGTTTCATTTCCTCTAGTTCTCTTCATGTTGAACCACATACATTGGGCACATTCAGAGAATTCAAAACGAGGAGAGAAACTCAGGATCACAGCACCTGAATTTATTCAAGCCATAAGATCCTCCTTCCCATCGCCCAAACTATATATATCCCAAATCCACAGAAAGCGCCCGTTATGCAGGTTACCTCTGTTGTGCCATTGTCATTAATCCCATACTTGTCCCTGGTTTTCTTGATCTTTTCAGACATGCTTTTGATGAATTTTTTAATTTCCTGCAATAAAGAATAGCGTGTATTTAGCTTTGTGTCACGTTTCTGCCGATTAATGACAAAAAGTCACCAGGAGCCTCCATATTTAACAGTACTTTATATACTAGGAGAGAGAGGGGAAAGTGGTTAGTAGGAGAAAAAATAAAAAAAAGTAAAGGTTCCTTCAAGTCAAACTCAACCCCTGCTGACTTTCTAGGCACTGCAAGTTTTCTTGCCAACAATACAGAAGCGGCTTGCTATTGCTTCCGACTCTGTATATAGCATTTCTTTTCTGCTTCCCAATTATGTCTCCATCCTGGTGAGATGGTAGTCTCCCATCCAAGTACGACCAAGCCTGACCCTGCTTAGCTTCTTAGTCCTGAGTGAAGTCAGTGAAGTGCTGCCATCTACTGAGCCCTACATTAAAAAAAAAAAGAATTAGAAAGTTGACGGGGAAGAAGACTGAATTTCCGGCCACCACAGCCATTTTTTTTCCATTGGTTTTGGGAAGCCTCTAAAACGTCACAATCAAAAAAACTACTTCTCTCTGAATCTAGAGCAACACGACAAACACAGAAGGGAACAAACAGAACGCCGTTGTCAGCTTCAGTGGATTTTTAACAGGATTTTCATTTGAAAAAGCATGCACAGGGTAAGATTTCCACGGCAAAACCATCGGACACATTTTAAAGGTTTAACAAAAAGGAAACACACGTTCCAAGCGGTTAAGGCTTGAAATTTTTAGCTGGAAAAACAATATTTAAGAGAGGTATATTGTTGGGAGCATCCAGCTCTTGCAAAACGTCAGAGGAGCCCAGCTGCATTTCTATCTCTGCTAGCAAGCTAAGCTCCGGAATGAATACACTGGGGAGGTTCCAATCCATTGATTGATTTGATTAGGTTTCTGTGCTGCTCCAATAGTCCACTGACTTTAACGCACCTCGGCATAATGTGTGCAGACCCCACCAGACTGCCCCACACTGCACGCACACACACACACCCATGCGTCAATTACCTTATAATAGGTCACATAGCCGCTTTCAGTTAACACCTTCAAGAATGAATAGGAAAAACAAAGTGTGTTCTGCTGTTGTTAAAGTAACCCTTCTCTTCTTTTACAGCAAGCAAACATGTTTTGGGAACTTAGTTTAGCTTTCTTTCTTTCTTTTTCTCTTTCTCTTTTCCTTCCTTCCTTCTTTCTCTTTTTCTTTCTTTTCCTTTCCCTCCCTTTCTTTCCTCTTTCCTTCCTTCACTCCCTGCCTCGTTCTTTCTTTCCTCTTTCCTTTCTTCCTTCCTTCCTTCTTTTTTCCTTTCTTTCCTTCCCTCCCTCTCTGCCTTTCTTTTCTTTCTTGCTCTTTCTTTCTCACTTTCTTTTTTCCTTCCTTCCTTTTCTTTCTTTCCTTCCTTCCCTCCCTTCCTCTCTCCTTCCTTCCTTCCTTCCTTCCTTCCTTCCTTCCTTCCTTCCTTCCTTCCTTCCTTCCTTCCTTCCTCCCTCCCTCCCTCCCTCCCTCCCTCCCTCCCTTCTTTTTGGAAAGAAACCTTTGGTTTTAGATATCAAGACCGCATCCAGGCGAAGAGCTCTGAAATAAAACCCTCTCGTCTTAAAAAGATAACACGCGGACAAGGAAGAGGCTAACGCAGATTAAATGGAAGTCCGTTTATTGAATGATCAAGAGAGGAATAGAAGGGCATTCGTTCCGAGTTTGAAAGAAGGAAAAATGACCCTGGCATGGAAAAGGGAGGTAGAAACAAAACAATACCTGCAGGAAGCTGTCCTGGCAACAAAGGAATTCGTTTTTCTTCATGATGGACTCGGCGGTTAGCACCAGTTCGTTTTTACTAAGCGCAGGCTCGCTTCGGCTGGGATACACGGCCTAAAGGCACAGAACAGCAGGGAGATCAATTGTAGGGCTGTTTTATGCTTGGGCGCCTTGGAAAATCCGACAGGCATTCGGAAGGAAAGGCCGCTCGGCGCTCTCGTACAAATACAACCCTCCGACCCAGGTCCTTCCAAAACTCCGACCCAGGTCCTTCCAAAACTCCGACCCAGGTCCTTCCAAAACCTTTACTGCACTCTAAGTAGCTTCTCAAAATAACATGGAGAAAACCTTGCAAGATGGAAGAAGTCTCGCAGGGCATTTCCGCTGCAGAAATTGAAACTATGATGGGACCAAGCGGTATTTTATTTTACGTCCAAGGCCTTCGTGGTTTGGTGGATAGAAACCGTGGTGGCACGGTGGTTAGAATGCAATGCTGCAGGCTACTTCTGTTGACTGCCAGCCGCCAGAAGTTCGAATCTCACCAGGCTCAAGGTTGGCTTAGCCTTCCATCCTTGTGAGGTGGGTAAAATGAGGACACAGATTGTTGGGGAGGTAGTGGCTGACTCTGTACGCCACTTAGAGAGGGCTGTGAAGCGGTATATAAGTCTAAGGGCTATTGCTGTCTAGGAGGTTCTTCTACTTCTTTTAAAAAAGGATGCCCTGTGCTAATACTTACTCTGACGTTGTTCAGAACGCGCTGGAACTCCAAAGGTTCGTCTTTTCCTTCCATGGCCGCAGGATCTAAGCCATCCCCACCATAAATGAACTGTATAATGTCCCCCGTAGAACTCCTGACGGTCAAGTCATACTGAGAACAAAGATCTTCGAGGGATTTCACCAACCGTCTCTGGGGGGGAAGATGGAGAAATAGCTTCTTCAGTAAACAAGTCACAGGCACGAAATGTCATTCAAGATGGAGACCGTAGCCGGATCCTACTAACTACCATAAATAGGAATTGAGGTCTTTTTGAATATCCAGAATGTTTATACAGCTGAATAGCAAATATAATTATCAATCAATCCATCCATCCATCCCTCAACCCTACCTCCACCCTTGCCTCTATCTATCTATCTATCTATCTATCTATCTATCTATCTATCTATCT